AGGGTGCGGGCTCGGGAGCTGCGACGCCGCCGTTGGCAGCACCCGGCCCGTCGGGGGGAGGGGTGGCGAACCCTCTTCCCTTCCCGGCGCCCTCTGGAGCCTCAGCCTCGGCCCCAGACGGACCTCCGCCGGCCCCTTCGGGCCTGGGAGTTTGCCGGCCTGAGCCCGAGGTGCGCGGACCGTGCACGGGGGAGAGGGGGAGGGGACCTGACAAAGTTGGGAGCTGACAGTGACTCCCTCGGCCCCTGGCGGGGAGGAGGGGTGGGGGGGGAGCAGAGGGGCTCCCGACTAACTGGGTCGGGCCCACGCGATTCCCTCCTCCTCCTACTTCCCTTAGGGGATCTTAAATCTGCCTTGGAGGCCCAAGCTGATATCCCCAAATCATGCCCCGTGGCCCTGCTCCAGATGCGGAGGCCGCTATCCGCTTCTTGGCAAACACCATTTGGACAATTGCGGGCAGATAGTTTTCTCTAAACCTCTTAAAAGCCACCCCGTACCCCCACCCATAAAGGAAAGCAGCGTCCCTTTAAATAGAAATTGAATCCAGTCCTGGAGAGAAGGACAACAGGTTCACTGGGCAACTCTATGACTCCCTTAGCGTCCCCAAGCCTGATTTGTGTACGACTGTTATTTTGAGTTTCTTGGAATGTTCCTTCTACTCATTTTGGTAAAGAAACGATTTCAGGGGCGAAATATTTTACAAAGGAGAATCCCCAGCATGTGGATATATACTTACTTGAGTGCTCAGGAGCTTTACACTTTAGTCCTTCTGGCTGTGCGACTTCCAAAAATATGGGAGAGAGCTGATGACAGCACATGCTGTTGTTTACACATGTGGAAGGACTGTTTTCCATGGGTAGCTGACCGATAGAAAGATGAGTTTCTTCAAGCTTAGAAGCATTGAGAAGTTGAAATAACAAGTTCGTGGATATAGCCTTATGTGGTGAGCCATATATTATAGGAGTCATTCATTCACCTAACAAACACAGTGTGCCAAACAGGCTTCTAGCCATGCAGATCAAAAATGCACACTGAATCCATCAAATCTGCCCATTTGAACAAAACAAAAGCATTTTTTCCCCTGCAGATTTAAAAAGCTGAGGGAAAATTGCCTTCAAATTTACACATTCTGTACATTCTTGAATAAAGGAAGGTATTATGTATTTTTTACCCCTTTAGCCATTGAAAAAGATTTGAAGAACTAATCTTGAGTTGTAACACAGGAATAGAAAAAGTATATTAAGAGTTGGTAGACATAAGACAACAGTGGCATTTGAATGACTTTATTTACAGTAGCATAGATGATATACCTCCATTTATAGCGAGAAGATTGAGAGTCCCATATTGTTTGCACATTTTTGGCTGTATTTCAGCTTTTCATATTTAAACAAACTCAGTTTACTACCTGCCCCATAGTAGCCACCCAACTGATGTGAATGAATATAAACTGTGTAATGAAGATCTGTTTTACTGATGGCTTTTGGAATTGGAATTTTCTTACCCTGGATGCTAATGATAAATACACTAACCTATTAAGAGTTTCATCTGCAAAAATGTTAAGAACCAACAGTTTCTTCCCTCAAATTTGTTGGCTGCCCTCTGGGCATTTTAAGTTAAATGTTAATAAAAGAAGCTATATTTCTACCTGTCTTCCCTGGGTAGAGCATCATATATCAGATGAGCATAGCAGTCATGAATCTGTTTCTTAGCTTGTGTTATAAGAGTGTTGGACTGAAGAACAAGATCATATATATTTTTTTCTCATTTGGTTTTAAAGAGAATTGGAAACGTTCCAATTATTTCTAAAGCAAACAGAATGAGCTACTTATAAATTAGGACGTTTGAGGATTCATGCATATCAAATATCTGTTCAAGTTTAAACCTATACTAAATTGCTCTTCACGCTATGTACAGCCTATTTTGTTTCTCAACATCTGGCCAATTTAGTCTCATTAAACAACTTTTTTCCCCTTTTTTTCTGAGGCTGTGTTGACAGTTTTGACAACCATTGCCTACTGTTTCATGGCCTAACCTTTCATGGCCTGCCTCTGTTCATGTTCTCTAGCTGTACAACTTTCTGAGTCTTAGCATAGGAAGGAAGTAGCTGTAGTGAAGAGGTCACTGGACTACAGCCTTTGGGAGACCCAGGTTCATACTCAAAGTGCCAGCTCTGCCACGTTGAACAGTCAGAACATCTACTGCTTTGAGCCCTAGTGTTCCATCTGTTAAGTGAATTTTGAAGACTTAAGCAGATTTGTGCAGTTTGTGAAACTCTTTGTACGTTCTGCTGTGCTGTACAAGTATTTAACATGTTGCTACACAATTTAACATGTATAGCTTATTTAAGAAGGCAGGAAAGGGGCTGGGAAGGTGGCTCAGTGGTAGAGCGCTTGCCTTGCATGCATGAGGCCCTGGGTTCGATTCCTCAGCACCACATAAACAGAAAAAAAAAGCCGGAAGTGGTGCTGTGGCTCAAGTGGTAGAGTGCTAGCCTTGAGCTGAAGAGCTGAGGGACAGCGCCCAGGCCCAGAGTTCAGGCCCACGACTGGACCCCCCGCGTGCCCCCCCCAAAAAAAAAAAGAAAAGAAAAGAAGGCAGGAAAGATGAAGATTTGGTGCGACTATATTGAAAAATTGAGTAGTCAAAATAAGGAGTCAGTTGCTGTTTATAGTCTTAAAAAATTTCCTGTTGAGTTGGAAGAGTGGCTCAAGTGGTAGAGTGTTTGTCTAGCAAGTATAGGGACCAGAGTTCAAGACCTATTACTGCCTAAAACTTAAGATTCCTGTTGCTGAGAGGCTTTTCATCATGGCCTTCAGTCCAGCATCCAAATAGTATCATTGATGATTATTATCATAGCCCTATTGGAATTCTGTTCCAGGAGCAAGATGTAAGGAAAATCTTAGACATATCAGTATTATCTGCATATAAATGTCCACATTTGAAAATGCAAGTATATTATGGGAAATGTTACTCAAGTCATTAATCAAGAAAAAGACAAAAGATAAAGGAATCATGATCTTTTTCTTTTTTTGGTCATGGGGCTTGAACTCTGGGCTTGGGTGCTGTCCCTCAGCTCTTCAGCTCAAGATGAGCACACAGCGCCACTTCTGGTTTTCTAGTGGTTCTAATTGGAGATAAGAGTCTCATGGACTTTCCCTCCCGGGCTGGCTTTGAATCTCGATCCTCAGATCTCAGCCTCCTGAGTAGGTGGGATTACAGGCGTGAGCCACCCGTGCCTGGCTCATTTTCTTTTTTGTATTACTGAAGGCTGAAAGTCAGTATAGTTTTTAAAAAGTCTGAGGTGAGGGGCTGGGAAGGTGGCTCAGTGGTAGAGCGCTTGCCTTGCATGCATGAGGCCATGGGTTCGATTCCCCAGCACCACATAAGCAAAAAGAAAAGCCGGAAGTGGCACTGTGGCTCAAGTGGTAGAATGCTAGGCTTGAGCTGAAGAGCTGAGGGACAGTGCCCATGCCCAGAGTTCAGGCCCCATGACCGGACCCCAAAAAAACCCAAAAACCAAAAGTCTGAGGTGACATAGAGCCTGACACAATAAGCAGTCAGTTTTCAATAAATGTTAAGGGAGCAAATTAAATGAGTAAAAGTTAATCCATTCCAGTTAGTAGAGACATATTGTTTATAGGATGGTGGAAGACACAGGGCAAGCCATGGTTCCTGTCTTCAGTGAGTTACAAATCTAGTAGATCATTGTAATACCCTGTTCAATTTGTAGAGTGGCTTAGCAGTTCCGTTTGTTTTTACTAGTCAAGTAAAAATATTTCTATTGGATCAAATTTTAGTTTTCTATTTTAATGGTTCACCTGACACATTAACAGCTATATTTTGTCTTGTGCTATTTTATGAAGTAGACAGTTGGAAGACAGTAAGGAAGTGCTTTGTAACTCAAATTTTCAAACTTGAAAATTATGAAAACAAGTTAGTAATGATGAGAGCTCTCCTTAACTATTACCCTTTGAGGTCCTCAGATTTCTTGGCAATAATTTTATCCCTAAGACCACCATTACACACATGCACCAGAACTCCCCCTGTAACTTTCTTTTTTTTTTTTAACCAGTCCTGAGGCTTGGAACTCAGCGCCTGGACTCTGTCCTTGAGTCTGTTCTTAAGGCTAGAGCTCTACCACTTTGACATAGCGCCACTTCCAGCTTTTTATCAGTTTATTGGAGATTAGAGTCATGGATTTTTCTTCCCCAGGCTGGCTTGGAACTGTGATCCTCAGATTTCAGTCTCCTGAGTTAGCAGCTAGAATTACAAGTGTGAGCCACTGGTGCTCAGTTCCTTTGTAACTTCTTATTGTGGGCAGGGTTCTCCAGACGAGGTGGGATTGAGGTCTGGCTTAGTGTTCTAGCCTTTGGGGCTTCTGTGGTGGTTTTCTATCTCTTACCCTGCGATAGACTCCTTCCTCCTTCTTACAAATTGTTGACCTTATAATAGGAAGATGAGGTGATAAAGATAGAAGTAGAAGATGGAGCCAGAAACATTTATAGTAGAAATATATTTAAGCTGGGCATGGGAGGTCCATGCCTGTACTCCTAGTTACTCAGGAGGCTAAGATGTGAGGAGGATCACAGTTCCAAGCCAGTCTGGGCAGAAAAGTCAGTGAAACTCTTAATCTCCAATTAACCACTAGAAAACCAGAAGTGGAGCTGTGGCTCAAACTGGTAGAATGCTAACCTTGAGCAAAAAAGCCCAGGGACAGCACCCAGACCCTAAGTTCAGGCCCCATGACTGACAAGTGTATTAAAAGTTTCTACAGTTGAAATTGTTACTCAAGCACACCATTGTGAATTTATGA